TCTACCTATAGCCCAATGGTTTACTTCCAGGAGGAAGATCCACTAGCTCTCATGTGTGATTTTGCAAAATGGAATCAATTTCACTTTGGATTGCCTTTTTCCAAAGAGGTCCTTCAAAAGAATTTACTGCTTCTGAAAACGTTTGTGGTTCGCTTTCAACCATATAGGTTAGAAAATCTGGACCAAAATATTTTTCTATCCTGCCTCTTTTGCTTTTCCGAGGTTCTACCTCAGTATATCCATCTTGATCTTTTTCCATTATTTCTAATTTTTTTTTTAGTGGAACTAGAATCCACTTCAGACTTACGTGGAAATATATGCTCAAAAAATGAAGCATTTCTAGATTCAAGTATCGTGTTCTTATGAATTTCCTCAATTTTGGATTCATGTACGAGAAAACGATAAGCACTACTGTTGTGTGCATATCCAATAAATATGCAATCAACCGTTTTTGGTCCAATCTTTATTTTCTTTGGCGTAGGTATTGCTACCTTTGCCAGACACCCCCACACTCGCAAGTATTTGTAGGATGGTGGTCTTCCATGCCATAATTCATATGGACTTTTGTCTAACTTTTTACGGGGAACCTTATTTAAAAGGTAATTTGCTGACAATACAGCTTCCCCCCACATGTTCTGTCAAAGTCCAGAACTTAACAACCTTGAGTTCATCATTTCTTTTAAAGTACGATTTTTTCTTTCCGTAATCCCATTTTGTTGCGGTGAATAAGGTGCTGTCATTTCATGTCTTATCCCATGTTGGGCACATAATTCAGCAAAAGGTGATTCATATTCACCTCCTCTGTCACTTCTTATCACCTTAATCTTTTTATTTAGTTGATTTTCAACTTCATTTTTATAGAGAATAAATTTCTCTATCGCTTCATCTTTACTTTTGAGAAGATACACATAACAAAATTTAGTGCTATCATCTACAAAAGTAATGAAATATTTATTTCCACCACGTGTCGTGACAGCTTTTAAATCACATACATCAGTGTGAATTAAATCAAGTGGTTCACTATTTCTTTCAATAGTTTGAAATTGTAATCGTGTCAATTTCGCTTCAACACAAGTTTCACACTTATGTTTTGAATCAATATGGAACATAGGTATGCTTTTCAATTTTATTAACCTGCGCAGAGTATTATAATTGACATGTCCCAGTCTACCATGCCACACAATGGAAGACTCAAGCATATAAACAGAAGGATTAACATTTTTATTAATTGTCATCACATTGAGCTTAAAAAGCCCATTACATTCATAACCCTTCCCTACAAATGCTCCATTTTTGGTCAAAATGACCTTATCAGATTCAAACACTACACGAAAACCATGTTTAATCAATAAAGAACCAGACACTAAGTTCTTACGAATTTCTGGTACATAAAGTACATTATTAAGAGTCAATTCTTTTGCAGATGTCATCTTCAGTACCACTTTTCCCACTCCTTTGATGTCAGAAGTGGCAGAGTTTCCCATGAAGAGCTTTTCTCCATCCACCGTCTCGTCAAGGACATTAAACAGTGCCTTGTTTGAGCAAACATGACGGGCAGCACCCGTGTCAATCCACCATTCATGTGGATTTGAGCCCACCAGATTTACCTCGGATATAACTGCTGCGAGGTGCATCTCATCAACATCTTTGGCCAGGTTTTCCACCATGTGGGCTTCTTGATTTTTCTTTGGCAACCTGCAATCAGATGCCTTATGGCCAGATTTATTACAATTATAACAATTTCCAGAAAATTTTTTCTTGAAAATTTGTTTATTTGGCCCCATTACTGCTTTCCCAGTATTGCCACATTTTTTCTTATTATTTTTACGTGAGCTTTCACCGTGCTCGACAACATTAACCTTGGCAAAAGAAGGATTAACCAATTTATTATCGTAGCCCTTGTTGTCTTCTTCAATTCGAAGTCTAACAACGAGCTCTTCAACAGTCATCTCTTTTTTCTTATGTAATAAATAATTTTTAAAATCTTTCCAACTTGGTGGAAGCTTTGCAATTATGGCAGCCACCTGGAAAGTTTCATTCACCACCATTCCCTCGGAATGGATGTCATGCAAGATTATTTGAAGCTCTTGCACTTGACTAATTACAGTCTTCGAGTCAACCATCTTGTAGTCCAGAAACCGGCCTACAAGAACCTTCATGGCTCCAGCGTCTTCGGTTTTGTATTTTTTATCCAAAGACTCCCACAACTCCTTCGCTGTTTTGATAGAACTGTACACGTTGTACAGCGTATCGGCCAAGCAATTCATTACATAATTTCTACACAAGAAATCTGAATGATTCCATCCATCAAGCGCACTCACAGCTTGAATATCCGGATTTTCCCCCAACTTTGGAGGATTTTCCGTCAAGAACCTCGCAAGGTTCAACGTAGTAAGATAAAACAACATTTTTTGCTGCCAGTGCTTGAAATTCAAGCCATTAAATTTTTCCGGTTTATCAGCATTATTTACCGGGACATTAACAGAAGGAGAAATAGTAATTGTAGCAGCACCACCGGTATTAGCAACGCCAATAGTATTTTGTTCAGCAGCCATCTTTAATCAGAATCTGTTTTAAGATTGTAGTTAACTTTATTGGGAAATAAAAAATAGGATGGCTAAAATAAAAAATGCCGAGGCCTGTGAGAACACAATGTCCTTAAAACAGATTCGCCCCGTATGAGCGTCTGTTTCCCAGGATACAACGGAAAAACCGAAACAAATTCGGCGAACTGAAATTATGCCTGGACCAAAACACTTAAAAATAGGGGAAAAAGCCTTTAACAATATTGTGTTTTTCTTCTCTTGTGTTTTTTCACACACTCTTGAAACCAACCCAAGGCCACATATTTATACATGCACCTCAAAGAGAGAATAATGACATACGTTCATTTTCTTTCATTCAATTTTTACAATTAAAGTTTTCAATTGAGTTTGAAGAAATCAATACAATTGTTGTTATCAAAATGTTAAGCAATTAAAACATTTGTTAAAGAAATAACTCTACACTATGTTACATATTTCATTCACAATTTTTTTCAATAGAGATTAATTTTATCTCTCTTTGACACTGCTAAGTGCTAACAAAGTAGATATTTCTCAAATTACATCCAAAATTCAGTTGTAAGACTATGTACAATGTTGAAATTCAGAATAAAAATATCAAATGAGTTGACCCGTGAAAGTCGAATTAGTGTTATGAAGATAAGTGGGATTTAGTTTTGAAATTCAATTTCTGTATGCTTTTGCTAACTAGATCTTTCTTTTTTTCCTTTAATTTTTTATTTTTCCTACTTCCATCATTCTTCAAACTAATGGACCATGATCATTGCCCTTCCTCATCATAACACACATTAAATGATGGGCCTATAGTCTCTATATAAAACCCATCGGGTTTGTCGGACTTATATGCATCCTAAGCTTTATTTGCAAAAACTTTTGTACTCTACAATTTTTAATATCTTGAGCCGTTCAATAAACCCACATGCACAATTGACTGAAATCAGTGGCCACTTTGATGAATTTAAATTTTCCACAAAATAATTGTTATTTTCAAAATTAATATTATTACCTTTTTTAATCAAGCTATAAGTTATTAATTTAATTACCTCTAAGGATGACACCAACGCGACCCCTTTTCCAACTCTTGGAAGAAATGCTTCGGCTGCTTTAGAGCATCCACAATGGTTTGGGTCTCTTTTTGTATATGTGGCATATAATTGGACGTGAGTTTTAAATGACATGGACAAACTCAAGTAAAAAACTCAAAAACTTTGCAATACAAAAATAAAGAGACTAGGTCTAGCATGCATGTCAACCAATAGAAATGCTCTAATATGTTTTATTCATTAAAAAAAAATTAAATTAAAGAACAAATGATGAGTGTTTGGTTTGTACTTGGGTCCAAAATAGACCCAAGTGTGGACTTAGTCTCTTTTTTTCATTGCCACATAAGTTAGACCATATCCACTTTTAATTGCATTGGGAAGTATTTTTTTATAGACTAAGTTTATTTCTCATGTGGCATGTGATTTTTTGTTAAGAGACCCAAAGTATTGTGAGTGCTCTTAGCATGACCGATAGCTCCGCCAGTAGAATACATATTTTCTCAACCTTTAATTCACAAAATATATATTAGAATCCTCAAATAACTAAGAAAAACTTCAACTAATTTTTTTTTTTATAATTGTTCACAAGTTGGCACTTACACTGGACCTTTTTTATTATTAATCAAGATAAATCTAACAGAATATAGTTGATCTTAGCAATAGTCCGTGTTTTTTGCCTTTTCTACTTTAACCCATATAATTAACTCAAAATTAAAATTTCAATTTTGAAAGTCCGTGTTATAAAAAAAAGAATAAAATTAAAATTAATATAGCAGTTTGTTATATTATTTTACCTGTCAATGCATGTCCATAATAATTGCTTTTATATTGTTCATGACCTGTGTTGTTGTAAATATGGTGTCCTTGAGGGACATTATATCTGCCTACAATGGAAAATTAATAATGAAGCACCTAATCATTTCAGTAAAAATTTGTAACTGTTTTGGTCAATCATACTTATTTAATATATCCACATCCATAAATTAGTCTGTTTTAGCTCGACTCTACTTTGAGAACACAATAATTAATGAAAACGCTTAAATGACATAATAAAATGTCCAAATATGTAGCCACATGTACATTATAAGTCCAATCAATAACAACATGTAATATACTAATAACAATATTCGTGTTCTAACTTCAGCATGGATCTAAAAGAACATTTTAAGGCAAGAGTACCAAGTCATACATAGAAAGAATAGAAATTGGAAGAATGTAATAAAACAAAAGCCAATTAGTTGCGTACCTCAACATTTTATTGTATTTCATTATGCAAATTCGAACAAATATATATAAATCTTATTCATAAAATAAAACAGAACAAAAAGAATCACATAGTCAACAAGTGAGTTTTGATTTGGTCACCTAATTTAACCATCACAAAAAAATAAAATTATCCCATGCTTTGTGGGACATCAATACCTGAGCTACTTCCTTTACGGCGGCCATCGCCGCCGCCCGAGCATTGGCGTATCTCCACTACAGCACGTGTTGTGCGCCAACCTGCTACTCTTCCTTCAACAACGGAGACACTTTCCTCGAAACACCACTCAACACCCCGCCTTTCATTTCCCTCTTCCCCAAGCTCACCAGATTTTTCGTCACCGGCGGTGGCAGCGACAACATCGGCCTCCCGGGGGACAATGCCCACGCGGATGGAGAAGTCGAGGCCGACCAAGATCTCCTCCGCACCTTGAATTTGCTCGTGCTTCGAGGAAAATACGCGTCAAAATTGCTGCCTAAGTCTCTAGTTTTTCGAACTTCTCTTTGGATTTTCAAATGTTTTGAAAATTTTAGAAGAGTGAGTGTTGACCGCCCTCTTGCTGCAATATTGTTGGAAATTGTATAATAATTTTGATACGTAAATTTTGTGTAATCATAATAAATAATTATATTGTAGCCTATATATGTAACAATTGTATTGTTATTATTATCATATTTTTGCATTAATTAATCTTAATAAAAATAATATTTTTAACTCATAAAATGATTAAATTTATATAATAAAATATATATCACTATAATTATTTTTGGGAGAGAGAGTCTTGAGCAAATGAATGAAATAGAGAGAAAGAGTTTTGGATAAATGAATGAGACAGAGTTGCATACATTTCTATGACACTTCTTGAGTTCCTTGAAGTTCATTGCGAGATTGAGAGGGAGGTGAATAAGTTTTTTGAATATCTCTCGATGAAACTTCAAGGAACTCCAGAAGTGCCATATAAAGGTATACAACTCTCTCTCTCTCATTCATTTGTTCAAGACTCTTTATTTCTCTTTATCTCATTCATTTCCTCAAAGAAATTTTCTCTATAAAAAAACAATTATATTGATATATATTTTATTATAAAAATTTAATCATTATATCAATTAAAATTATTATTTTTATTAAGAATTTATTAATGCAAAAATATGATAATAATAACAATACAATTTTTACAATTTTTACAATTATAGGCTACATACAATTATTTATTATGATTACACAAAATTTATGTATCAAAATTAATATACAATTTCCAGCAATATCACAGCAATAGGGTGGTCAACACTCACTCTTCCAAAATTTCCAAAACATCCGAAAAGCCAAAGAAAAGCTCGAAAAACTCGACACTTATGCGGCAATTTTGACGCGTATTTGCCTCGAAGCACGAGCAAATTGGAGGTGTGGAGGAGATCGTGGTCGGCCTCGACTTCACCATCCGCGTGGGCATTGTCCCCCGGGAGGCTGATGTTGTCGCCGCCACCGCCGGTGACGAAAAATCCAGTTAGCTTGGGGAAGAGAGAAAGGAAAGGCAAGGCGTCGAGTGGTGTTTTGAGGAAAGTGTCTCCGTTGAAGGAAGAGTACCACCAGTACACATTGGCGCACAACAGGTGCTGCAGTGGAGATACGCCAATGCTCGGGCCCAAGAACTTGGAAACCGTGGACCCATTTCACTTCGTCTCCCACTCGTCCAAAATGCTGAGGTACGCAACTAATTGACTTTTGTTTTATGACATTCTTCTAATTCTTATAGATGTGGATATATTAAATAAGTATGATTGACCAAAATAGTTACAAATTTTTACTGTGATTCATTATTAATTTTCTATTGTATGCAGATATAATGCCTCTCAAGGACAAGCAACAAAGGTCATGAACAATATAAAAGCAATTATTATAGACATGGATTGGAAAGTAAAATAATATAACAAACTGTTATATTAATTTTAATTTTATTCTTCTTTTTTATAACACGGTGTTTCAAAATTGAAATTTTAATTTTGAGTTAACTAGTAAAGTGCACGTGCGATGCACGTGGTATCGAATGATTTTTGCTGAGTAAGTTTATAAAATAAATTAATCTATTTATTAAACATATCATTGCAGGAATCAAATAAAATATAGAACAAATGAATTCATATGTGATTTTTTCATTTAGAATTAGTGTAATGATGTCCTAATATAAAAAGAGTGAAATAACGTTTTACAACCCCCAACTAAAATATATAAAAAACAAATCCTTAATACAAAAACCACTAAAATTTTCTTTCATCTTTCTTGTAAGAAAACATTCATACTCGCTGAAGTCTAATACATCAATACTATTGCAAAATTTCTCTTAATTCATTTGGCAAAACGTTAATTTTATTCAAACACTTAAGAAATATTCTGACCCAATATATAGTCAAACTTCATGATAATCTTTATAATAAGGTACTTCTACTAACAATGCATAAATATCTCTATAAAATAACTAACTATGTCATTAAAATTGCTGGTATTTTTTATTATTGTATAAACTTCTACATTCCTCTGTCTCTAGACATATTGGTGCCTACCCCATTGATGCATCGCCCCACGAGGTGGGAATGAATTTTATCTCCAAATAAAAGTTGACTTTTCAAAAATTTGGTTACATATTTCTAAAATTTTGGTTACATGTACTTCTCCCGAGGTACTAAATTATTTTTTGAAATCATCATACATTACTTTAAAGTACCTCTAAAGTAATTGCACATATGTTCGAGTACAATATACCGATGAGATTATAATATTTCTATAAAAAGTGACAACTTCATTCGAACATTCAAAATTGTTTTGATACTCCGACATTGTTGTTTATTTGGAATATAGACGAACAATATAATCTATTATTTGAAAATTATTGACCATCATGGTTGTTGCAATGATTTTAGAATTGTTTATCATAATATCTTTCACATTCGTTTAAATATGCAGTATTTGTGTGCCTAATAACTTCTTTAATGCTTTTATTGTCCAACATTATTCATCATACAAAATGATTATAAAATTCAAGATAAAGATCAGTTCTTTATTCTCCAACAATGACAAAACAAAACAATCAAAACAATGAGAAAATATTGAGAAGCATATCATTTGTTAAAATATTTGATAGGGGAAGAGTTAGAATTATATTATATTATGATACTCTTAGTCATCTGCAAAGTTTATTATTATGGAGTCATGATTAAAATATACATTATGTATTACAAATTTTTGGATTTTTTAATTATTTAAAATTAAAAATAAATAATAAAGGATCATTATTTATGAAAATCAATTTCTTACAAAGTCCCTATATTTAAACGCTAGCAATAAAAAAGTAGTAGTTTTTAAAGACTTTTTGTTCGTAAATATTGGTATTCATACTTCTCTAAGAAAATTCACACGTATTATATTTCTCATTGTGTTACTATTATATTATTTGTTTCTTATTCTGTAGACAAATAATATTTTGTTTGCTAAATAATTAAAGCACATTTATATGTATTGCGTTATTTTTTGTATGTGTTTTATATAATGATGTTTTCAAATTATATTTTTTTATTAGGCTGCAACTACTATAATCACATAAGATATAATGTAAATTTAATATATTTAATAAAAATGTACTTTTTATACGAATCATATCAAAATTTTCATAATAATAGTTGCACACAATATTATATATAATGCAATTTTTTTATTTTTTATTTTTTAAATATAGATTTGGAGTCCTACTTTTACTACAAGAAAATGAGAAAATTCCAACGAAAATTACAACAAGAATATAACGATCTTCTTAAGTTGAATTGAGAAAAATCATGTTTTTTGGTTTCTTAAATATATTTTATTTTATTGTGACTGTATTGATTTATTAAAATGTATTACAAAATGAGAAAGGTGATAGATTAATTTATAAATTTCCATGACATGTTATTTTGATGGTATATTTTTTCTATTAACTAAATAATGCCACCAATATGAAATTATTTTAGATCTATCACTGCAATTAGCTTTCCAATGGAATTTCCATTGAATTTTTGCACAATTCCAATGACAGTTTTTCCAACGATTGAAATATGGTCCAAAAAAAATCCAATGGAAATTCAAGTAATTAAAATCTTTAAATCCACTAAAGTTCAAGTAATTTTTGAACTTTGTTGGAATAGCTAATAAAATTTTCCAATGAAAGCAATATTTATGAAATATTCGTTGGAATTTTCTGTAAATTACCTTACTGTTGAATTTTTCATTGCAATATAGAAATTTGTTGTAGTCCTCTTAAACATTAAATTTTATGTAGTATTTATTGATTAATTGTGTTTACAATTTTTCTATTAAAAATATACTAAACACATGAACTTTTTAGTTCCTATATTTTTTTTTTTCAGAATCACTCATTATTTTATCTCAAGATTACCTATTAATTTACCAATTGAGTTATATTTCTTACATATTAAATATTTAAATATTAGAATATTTCCTATTTTAGATGTTCAATATGATATTTATACATTATATTAAAAAAAAACTAATATAGCAAATAAAAAATTATTTAAAATTAGAATAATAAAGATTTTTTTTTTGGTAACTTACATTGATAAATGTACAAATAACTATTGTCTATCACATCAAATTTACACACAAAATTATAAGGAGAAAAAACTAACATTAACAACTCAGCTCGTTTACGTCGATAAGTATATTTATAAAAGGTTTATATTTCTTCTATTAATTATAACATTTTTATTTATTACTTTGTTTCATATTTATTAGTACGTGTCACAACTTATTTATTTTTAATATTATTTATCATATTTCATATTTTTTTAAACTCTTATCTTGTTCTTTTACATGTTCTTAACTGTAGATTTGTCAAAAAATGCATGATAAAGTCTAGAATTGTTTCGACCATCTGTCTCATTATATTTCAATTATTTGTATATCTTATATTATATTATATTCCATTACAATTTTTTTTAATTTATACTAAAACTAAATATTTATAATTCATAAATTCATCAATAATATTGTCGAGTCAACTTTTGTTCATAAAATTTTAAAAAACATAATTATTTACAATTATTTGCTTATGTCGATAAATACAAATTTAAAAGTTCTACAAATACTTTTACTAATTATAATATTTTTATTTATTACTTTTTTTCATAGTTATTAGTAAGTATTACAACTTAGTTATAAATTTAATATTATTTATTAGAGTTATTGTTTTTTTAACTTTAAACTGTTCTTTCATATGTATTTTAATATATATGTGTGTGTGTGTATAACTTTTAGGTTTGTTAAAAAATACATAAAATTAAAGTATAGCACTTTTTTGAATCATATGTCTTATTTATATCAATTAATTTTATATCTTTATATTATATTATATATAATTATAATCTTCTCATTTATACTCAAATATATAAATTTTTTATTTCGTATATTTTTTTCTTAACAATCATTTTATTATAATAACACATATTAATAGATAGATGAGTAATGATAATATATGAATATAATATTTGATTAAAATAATTAATTTTCAACATGTAAATCATATTATGATTCTCGAGATATTTTTAATTTATTTGTAGATAATTATATGGTTAAAATTAATCCATGTTGCTAAAGTGGTATCTCATATGACGTGAAAACAAATAGATTAAGTTTTAGTATTATACAATTTCATAAAATTATTCTGGTCTTATGTATCGAAGAAATTGAATTGATTAGAAGTTTAGGTTGCGGAACAATCATTCAACAATTAATCTCGCATACTATTATACATTTTGTATAGGTTATTTTGAAAATAATGTTTCTATACTTTGTGGTCGTTATGAGAAAAAAACAATATCGATTTCTAGTTTTATAAGTGTTTATTATGCTTTTTTTGTTAGATCAATTTTAATTTCTTTAAGGAACTTTTATATATTAGAGTTATGAAATGTGAGTACAATATTACTATTAAAATTATATGAAAAAGGATGACATTTTTTAAAACAACAATTCTATATCCTATCAAACAGTTTTAGAGATATGTGGAAGAAAACAAATTCGTGAGAAATAATGGTGTTAAACCAACATATTGTAGTTGATTTTAATAGTGTGGAATGATTTGTTCATGTATTTGTATTTAATTAATTAAATATTAGTTATAATTAAAAATATAAGATATGATGGACATTAGTATATTACTAATTTGCCATTAAAACCATGTCAAAGTAAGGGTTTATTAGGTAATTCATTCTAATATTTAAAAATATAAAATATGATGTGTATTAGTGTATTACTAATTTGCCATTAAAAATATGTCAAAGTAAGGGTTTTTAGGTAGTTCATATTTTTACAAAAACACTCGTCCTTTTAGAGTAGTATAGATAGATAGATATAGATATAGATATAGATAGATAGATATAGATATAGATTATATGGGTCAAGGTAGAAAAGGCAAAAAACAGGCTGATGCTAAGATCAACTATATATATCTATTCGATTTATCTTGATTACTAATAAAAAAGGTCTAGTGTAAGTGCTAACTTATTNTGAGTGTACGGAAAATATTCATTTCGAGTTATCAAAAAGTTTTCGCAATTAGTAAGACCTGAAAAGGAAGAAAAAACTAAAAAACAATAAAAAAGACTCGAAGAAAACAGACTCACCTGCCAGCAAAAGAATAAGAGTTGGATGAGTAATGAGAGCCCATAGCATTATTCATGGGGAGCTAATAAGCTGTGTTCATGGATGAAACAGATACGGACTTTGCTGCAAGAATTTGATCAGGTTTTTGAGCCACATGCGAATAAATGTCGTCCCTTGGTGCCTACAAAGTTTATAAATTTTAAGAGTACCCATATTTAGCACAACAAATAAAATACTTGCACAAAACTTCTATAAGCCATACATATCTGCCTCCT